TATTGTAGTATGCATAACTTTTGGTTGGTTTTCTAAGAAATAGATGCAAAGCCACAGCATTTTGCTGTCAAAATTCAATGGAATTTTACATGTTTTGTGGGTCCCAAAAAGTTTAGAAAAATATGTTTTTACCAGCTCCTGATGTATTTATTTATTTGTATTTCCTGTTTCTTAACCACTAATCTCCCTCAGAGAGGAACTTTGGATGGTGTACAGTATAATCAATAATGTATATTGTGGTACTTGCACTAAAATGTTGCAATCAGTAATATACTTGATATTACAACATTGGACAGATCTATTTAATAAAAGCTATCCATGTTTCTAAACACCAGACTTATATGATTGTTTTTAATCTTTAGTTGAAAATTTCTCAATATTTTAAAGATTGCCATCTGCATTGGAAACTTGAATTTAAAATCCACATAAAAGTATATGCTCAACATTTAATTCTAAGGCTATATTTACAGCTATAAATTAAATATGAAAATAATGAAATGAAAAACCTGTTCAGAACGTTATACAAGGAACAATAATTTATTTCTTCTAAAAATATATGAAATGGTGAACTGAAATAATAAACTAATGAAACTGAAAATGTATTTCTCCCTGTTGCTATAGCATTTAAAAAGGAACTGGGATTATTTCAAAATAAATCATTTCAAGTTCTCACTTACTTTGATTAGTGTACCTGACCTTCGGTCTTATATTTTCTTGCATTTTAATGAGCAGCAGGAATAGATGCTTTTTCAGTTGTGGTATCTTTGAATTTATGCCAGTTTAATTCTAGATACTGTGTCAAAAGTTGACCTAAAATCAATAAATGCTGCATAAAAGGATTGTCCTGAATTATGGATATATTTTTCTACTAGACATTGCAGCACCAAGGGATGATCAACTGTTGATTGTCCTGTTCTAAACTCAGCCTGTTCATCGCTCAAAATATGTTCAGATTCAAACCAAGCAATTAGTTTCTTCTGCAGCTGTTTACCATACATTTTGCTGATCTAACTTAGCAAATTGTTTCAGTGCTAATTACCTGGATCATCTCTTTTACCTTCTTATATATTGGTGTGTGTGTGTTTCTGTGTGTGTGTTTCAAAATCTCAAACCTATGGGATCATGTTTGAATTATCTATTGCTGTAGAAAGTGAAGCTATGTGATGGAATATGCAGCTGAAGAAGGAGTGAGGAGGAATGTCAGCAATAGCATCATGGCTTCCCAGGGAGGAGACAGCACATTCCAAAGAAGGAGCCAAGACAAGAGACTGTGGAGACCTGAATTGGATGGGAGAAGGGGGAAAAAGTTCAGGGTAGCCACTCCTTAGAATTTCCCAGTGTAAATTTAGTAGGTTAAAAGGTAATAGCTTTAGTCTGCCAAGATTCTGTGTATTAGATACAAGAAAATAAAGAACCGGATTCAATTGGATGTCACTGTGTTGTCTGAGTTTGGGACTGACAAGCTAGCCCTGGGATGAAACATTGCACATTTTTTTATTATTATTTCACACATAAAAACATCTGAACCTGGGGCTTTATCTGGTTTAAATGGTTTAATTATATTTCTGATCCCTGAACATGAGACGGGAGGACAATGGAGAAATAGTTTTTCAGGTAACAGGAAGCTTTGAGCAGCCTTTTATAGAGAAATATTTTAACATCAGATAACATCTTTTAACAATCAGATAACCAAAAGCTTTTATGACTTTCTCTACCAAAAGTCTTATTCCTGGAGATCATTTCACTTCATTAATCTATTCCTTTATTTATCTATATGTACATTATATTTAAATATAATGTAAAGGAATAGATTAATGAAGTGAAATGATCTCCAGGAATAAGACTTTTGGCAGAGAAAGTCATAAAAGCTTTTGGTTATCTGATCATGGGAGAACTTCACTAGGATAACAACAAGCCTGTCTAGATAATCTGTCACCTTAAATGCCTCAATTCATCTTGTTTGTGAGCAGGAATTCAGTTTGAAATAGCTTTTCAAAAGCCTATATGGTAACTCAGTATCAACTTTCCTAGCAATACTCTCAAGGAACAAAACAATTAAATTAGTAAAATTAGACATAATGGAAACATACATTTTTAATGTTGTGTATGCTTTATCCACCTTCTTTTCCATACATAAGAATCTTCAAGAACATTCTATAACAGACATTAGTCATCATATACCAACAAAAATCAATTAAAAAAACCTACTCTTAACAGAAACTCAGTGGAATTATTTAATAATTTTTTTACTGTGACATTGACTAGAAATAAGCTAGGAATGCTTAGCTCTTTTAAAGAAAATATTATCTTTTATCTCTAAAGTTGCATTCATTTTGTTTATGTCTATTAACAATCCATGGTATTTAAATGGGAACTACTAGACCTTATATTTATTTATACTCTGGAGAAAGTAGGTGAACCAGCACAACATTGTGCCACCCACCCTGAATCATCTCAAGCCTATCCAGAAGGATACCAGGCTCAAAAGCCGCGTAGAGGTCAGGTAGGGCAAGGGTGGAAATACAACCACCATCCTGCCCTTGCCAGAAATCATCCAATATATACTTATACCTAAACATCCAAACTGTTTCAGTACTATGTCTCATTCCATCTCTGTTTTTCCTAAAATTAATTTGGCTGAAAGGACCTCTTTGAGACCCATGGCTGAATTCTCATTTAGGTCCTATTCTTTATAAAAGACTGCGAGAGATGTTGTTTTGCTGCCCACACTTCTACATCTTATTCTTTGAATTTATACTTCTCATTATGAATCAAATTAATCCTTTCAAAGTGCTAGGTTAACAATTCATTTAAAATATTGTTCCATAAGTCTTACAATACTGCGAGACAGTAGAATACTCATCATCTTTAGAAGCAGGACCTTGTTTCCGCAGTAGTCATTGTATAAGTTAAAAATAAGTAGCTTTGAAACAATCTTTGGTAGAACAGGGGGGAAATTTTCTCCCAGGTACTATGTGGCTAAGTGCAATGAATAATATAGCACAATGAATGACAATTTAATTACTAGTCAGAAAGAAAAGTATAATACAGATATAATTTAATCCCCCTCATTCATGCTTTCTTGGGAACAAAGTGTTCTAAACAGCTTAAATATTAAATATTGTTTAATAGTAGCACCAGCAAGGGAGCTGAAACCAGCTGGCCTCCATTAGAGTTCCAAAAGTAGATTGGTGATTCACCTAAAATGCATCAGTCTTCCACAAAAACTTGGCGAGTATAATTACTACATATTTTAATTTATGCAGTCATGATGTATTAGTGACTACAGCTGTCCTGGTCAGCCTACTTCTTTTGTCAATGTGGGTAATCTTGCTAACATACAATAATTTAATGTGATGTCTTGTTAGTTGTATCTCTGTGATAAAGTGAATGAAGAAAATAGTTAAAATGGTTGGTGTTCCAATTACAAAATATAATTTGAAGGAAAATAGCAAGATTATGGCCAATAATCATTTTAGCGCACCAGGATGCTCCATACTATTCCAGTTTAGCTTTGTTCTTTTTTGAAGTACATATCCAGCAATAAGTTACAGTAATGCTCTCTATTTTTTATTTTTTTTTGTAAGAATGAATTGGGCAATATGAAGCTCAGGCATTCTTGTTGCTCTGTTTGTAGTATGATAGATGCTATCTATTAGCATCTAAACAATTAAAAATCTTAGTTAGGGTAGGGAACTTATTGAATAGAAAATACTATGGGAATATAACCATGTACAAATATTATATTACTTATTCCTGTGCCAAATGAAATCCTTTCCTGTCACAGTGATAGAATTTGAGAAAGGGAAAAAAATCTAATTATATAATTTCAGGAAATGTATATTCCAGGATTCCAGTATTTGGGCAATTAATTTTGCTGCAGTAATGATAGTCTCTCAGCAAAGCCCAATAAAGTATCTGGGATACAATTTCAAAATGCAACCACGTCTCAAAAGCTAATATACTTATACAATCTGGAGACACGAGTGATACATGTTAATGATTATGCTATAAATGTTATTGATTACGCTATTGATTAAAGGAGCTGGAGATGCCATTATTAAGATGCTCCAATATGTTGGAAATATGAAAGGTAAAACTGAATAAATTGTTCTTACAACTTCTCACTTGGCAAGGATTTTTATAGAAGGTAAAATGCTGCTTCCACGCTTAGCCAAATGTAGGCACATTTGTCCACAATAATATTCCATGTCTTAGAATAGATTAATGAAATTAGCATGTAATACCATGCAAGTAATCCTCAAGTTATAACTATAATGGAGGCTGCCCATTATGGTTGTAAGTCATTAATTGAACAGAATAGTTGTAAGTGCAAATGCTGTAGTTGTTAAAGAAACCTATTTCTTGTTATGGTGCAGGTTTGCTAAAATCTGGAAGTGCAGGTTTTCAGCCAAACCATTATAAAACATAATCAGGTGACTTGTGGGATGCTGCAAATGGCAATAAAAGTACCAAGTACACAACTGTGGCTATGTGAATGAGGGCTATCATCTGAACTTTGGATCTTTTTATAAAATCTCATATTACAGGTAGGTCATAACTGGTTACTAAGCGATTGGTTGTAAGTCAAGGACTGGCAGGTGCAAGACATCATGAGCTGGGATAGGGTTCAAAAGTACTACAAGTTTATTCCATGCTACCTATACACAAGAATCTGATCTATTAATGGTCGAGGCAAATTGCGCCAGATAAGTCTCAACAGATTTTAAGGAGGGCTGGATTTAAATCTCTTTGGGGAGCATAGAGGCTCCAAACTGAAAATTTGATTCCACCCTGATCATCTCCTACAAGGATGTAATTCATAATTAAACATTTAGAATAATGACAGATTCTGTTTAATAAATCTATTATTTTTTACACCGTATCTTTGGATTGTCGTAAATAAACTAGAATTCTATGTTTAAGTTTTTGACAAGTTTCTTAAATGGAAAATGATGTGGAAAAGAAGTGCATAAACATAGTGTTTAACAAAACCATTCTGAGGTAAAAGGTAATTTATAATATATTATCACAAGAATGCTGAATACAATTTCATATACTTTTTTTTTCTGGAGAAAATTAAATTCTGTCCCAAAATTATCAGTTGCACTAATTTGATCTCATTTAAAAGAAAGTCAATTACTCATACAATTCCATCCCCAAATACTTAAATTTTAAATAACAAATAGTCAGGTTTATATTTTACTTAGTACCCCTTTCCATTCTCTAATACAAAAATTACTCTATATAATCCAACAGGTGATTATTTACATTTTTATCATTTCAGTTCTGAGAAACTCTACTTCCTAATGCATTTCAAACAGGCATAGTTATCATTTTCATATGGTACTTAGCATAGTACAATTTATTCAACCAAATTTTTATATATATAAAAATCTGGAGTATGGCATTTATAACTTTCCTGAACTTCTCATCTACAATTCCTGACATCTGTCACCATTGATACAAATAACAGCGCTACCATATTTGGAAAATTTCCAAATTATTCTTAACATAAACAGATCAAACATTTTAACATGATAAAAATGTATATAAACCAGAAAAGCAGGCATATTCAAAAAGCAGGATTTTAGAATCCACTCTTTTATTAATGGAAAATAAACATGGAATGTATTTAATAGTACAAATACTTCTGAACACGAGAGAGCTGGAATTGAACAATAGAAGAGAAAATTCTTTTATTTTGTTAATTATTAAAATTAACTGGGAAATAAATCTTACAACCTTCAGAATCATGATTTTCACTTTCTGGCCTGAAATATGTGATATGGATGCTTCTCTTCCTGATTTTCAATAGCTAAACTGAGCTAGATTTGCAAATAAACCTTTTTTTGCTTACAGCAGAAGCATTTATTCTCAGTAGAGCTCCTATAGGGGAAATGACTTTTTTTTTTTTTTTTGCACAGTAGAGTCATAGAATGGGGGAAGGATGTAGCACAAAGGGACTTTTTTTCCTTCTTGAAGAGAATACAGTGCAGGCAAAAGTCTTGATTAATTCTGCAAATAGATTTAGATCTAGGGTAATTTTGCTCGTATCAAGTAAGGTCTAGATGATATTTTCATAAACTTCAAATTTATATTGGATTCCATTCTCTTCCTGGATATCAACAGAGATACCTACATAACTTGAGAGAGAAATAATAATTTAGTGGATATTTTTAAATTGAAAGTAACATGAAATATTATTTGTATACATACTGTATTGCTAAACCAAATATATTTCTTCAAATTTTACTTCAGTAGAGATAAATCAATGAAATGTTTTATATTGCTAGTATAAATGCATAGAATTGATATAATATATTTTTTATATAATACTTACTTAGGTAGAAGTCTGTATTTTTTAAGATCAATTTCTGGAAAAAATGTATCACTTTCAAAGTCATGCATAATTCTTGTCACAAACAGTTGTTGATGGATTGGCTTCTCCATTGCTGCCTTTAAAAAGAGCAAGACATAGTGAATGAGTTTTGGTTATTTAGCAATATGAAAAATATTTGTTCCCTAAACATTAACAATATCTTGAACAGTTTTAATGTTTATTTTAAACCAGGGGTATCAAACTGCCAGCCCATGGGCCGGACGTGTCATGATGAAACTGCGTCCACCCCATTGCTGCAATGGGGAAAAAGCTGTGATATGTCACGAGTTTGACATGTCTGTTTTAAATAAAAAATAAATTTTGGAGTTAAATATCCAAAGAATAAAAATTATGAAAAGAAGTGTTCCTAAGAACACAAGAATAAACTTGCTGGAATAGGAGAATTGCCCACCCCAGCAATAGTTATGTGCAGTTGTATCTAGAAATCACAATAAGACAGAAAAAAGATCTTTTGTTTATTACCAGCTCACTAATACAAGCATTTTCTCTATATTTTGCATTATATGGCTAGGTCTTCAGAATATAAAATGTAGTTGGCTAGTTTGTAGCTTAGCATGAACATTTAGGCAAATTGGTTAATTAAGAAAACAATTAAAGAAACCATGAGTTAGCATGTAGTGCAAACATAGGCAGGATGTATATGAATATAAAGTAGAAAATATTTTCGTGACTTGGTAATATATCCTTGCAGACTGACATCCTATCAAGAATTTATTTTGTAGCATCATGTTAAAAATATTAATGTGATACAGTGGGGCAAAAAAGTATTTAGTCAGCCACCAATTGTGCAAGTTCTCCCACTTAAAAAGATGAGAGAGGCCTGTAATTGTCATCATAGGTAGACCTCAACTATGAGAGACAAAATGAGAAAACAAATCACATTGTCTGATTTGGAAAGAATGTATTTTCAAATTATGGTGGAAAATAAGTATTTGGTCAATATCAAAAGTTCATCTCAATACTTTGTTATATATCCTTTGTTGGGAATGACAGAGGTCAAACATTTTCTGTAAGTCTTCACAAGGTTGGCACACACTGTTGCTGGTATGTTGGCCCATTCCTCCATGCAGATCTCCTCTAGAGCAGTGACGTTTTGGGGCTGTCGCTGGGCAACACGGACTTTCAACTCCCTCCAAAGGTTTTCTATGGGGTTGAAATCTGGAGACTGGCTAGGCCACTCCAAGACCTTGAAATGCTTCTTATGAAGCCACTCCTTCATTGCCCGGGAGGTGTGTTTGGGATCATTGTCATGCTGAAAGACCTAGCCACGTTTCATCTTCAATGCCCTTGCTGATGGAAGGAGGTTTGCACTCAAAATCTCACGATACATGGCCCCATTCATTCTTTCCTGTACACGGATCAGTCGTCCTGGTCCCTTTGCAGAGAAACAGCCCCAAAGCATGATGTTGCCACCCCCATGCTTCACAGTAGGTATGGTGTTCTTTGGATGAACTCAGCATTCTCTCTCCTCCAAACACGACGAGTTGTATTTCTACCAAACAGTTCTACTTTGGTTTCATCTGACCATAGGACATTCTCCCAATCCTCTTCTGGATCATCCAAATGCTCTCTAGCAAACTTCAGACAAGCCCGGACATGTACTGGCTTAAGCAGGGGGACACATCTGGCACTGCAGGATCTGAGTCCCTGGCGGCGTAGTGTGTTACTGATGGTTGCCTTTGTTATGTTGATCCCAGTTCTCTGCAGATCATTCACTAGGTCCCCCTGTGTGGTTCTGGGATTTTTGCTCACCATTCTTGTGATCATGTTGACCCCACGGGGTGAGATCTTGCGTGGAGCCCCAGATCGAGGAAGATTATCAGTGATCTTGTATGTCTTCCATTTTCTAATTATTGCTCCCACAGTTGATTTCTTCACACCAAGCTGCTTGTCTATTGCAGATTCAGTCTTCCCAGCCTGGCGTAGGTTTACAATTTTGTTTCTGGTGTCCTTCGACAGCTCTTTGGTCTTCACCATAGTGGAGTTTGGAGTGTGACTGTTTGAGGTTGTGGACATGTGTCTTTTATACTGATAACAAGTTCAAACAGGTGCCATTAATACAGGTAATGAGTGGAGGACAGAGGAGCCTCTTAAAGAAGTTGTTACAGGTCTGTGAGAGCCAGAAAAATTGCTTGTTTATAGGTGACCACATACTTATTTTCCACCATAATTTGCAAATAAATTCTTTCCAAATCAGACAGTGTGATTGTCTGGATTTGTTTCCTCATTTTGTCTCTCATAGTTGAGGTCTACCTATGATGACAATTACAGGCCTCTGTCATCTTTTTAAGTGGGAGAACTTGCACAATTGGTGGCTGACTAAATACTTTTTTGCTCCACTGTATATAGAAGGGTTCCTTGGTGCTCTCTGATCTTGGTTGTTTTCTTGCAAATGTTTTATAACCAAACTAGTAACAACTTCAGTCCTAGAAAACAACCAAACCCAGAGAGTACCAAAGAACCCTCATTTCAACCCTGAGCTATAAATATTCTCCTTTATTGTGATAGAAGTAAACAACTTTGAAACAATGTGTCTTTTGATCAATGATTTTCTTTAGTTTCTAGATGCAAAGGGGAAATTGCTTGTAAAATAGCATGAAAATTAATAGATACAATCTTATCTGTTAAACTTGCTTTCCTGTTTTTCTTTCACTGAACACTTAATTTGAAGAAAATTCACTTAATGCATTATTAACTTCAGCTTTGACAAATGCCTGTTCATGCAAACCTAATCCAATATTTTAAGCATAAGCACTTACAGGGAACATGACTGCTCAAATTATGTCTTCAGGTAAAAAAGAAAAAAAACATTTTCACTGGCTACTGTTCTATCATTTACTACCTAGGAAAAAGTGTCAAATAAGATTTGCTTAGGATCATACTATTCACTAATATTCTTATTACATTCTTCTAAAACTAAGCAATACAATGACACTTTAATATATTGTGCTTGGCTGGTTTACAATAAATGCAAATCCAGAAAATTTGCTTAATTCAATAATATATACTAGGGCTATCTAACTGATAAATGCCATTAGAAATAAAAACAGTAGCAAGAATACAACTTAGTTTACATAACACAGCTGAACAAGACTCACATCTTGGTTATTTACCTCAGCTATATGTGCTACAGCTCACAATTGGTACGGACGACAAATTGAATGGTCATGTACATAGTTCTTGAAATATAAACGGCCATTCCCTTTGCACTTTGCACCCCCCCCCCATGCTGGATCAAAACCTGTGCTGGGACAATCAGGGTCAGCACTATTATGGAGAGGATTGTAGCCCTATCATTTCTGCCTGAAACAACATGCATGATTGTTGGTGGAAGAAGGAAATGACAGATTATATTGGCTTATTTTCATGGTCAATAAATTCAGTTCCCTTAAAGTTAATTGATTGATCAAGTTTTCTTGTTTACTTAAAATTATATTGGAAATGTTTTCTTTTTTAAATTTGTACTAAAGCATTTTTGTTGTTTGGGTTCACAAAGGTTTATACTACTAACTTTGGTTGTTAACTACTTGGTCCTCCAGGACTCAAGATAAAAATAAATTGCACTAGGGGTTCTTTTTTAAGACACTGCTGGTCTTGAGCTATAAGCAGGATATTACAATAGTTGGATAAAGAATCCTGGATAAGAATCCCATAGTTAGGACAGCAGAATACACTGAATTAGTTGATTTGAGATTACTTAGGTGTCTCTCAAAGATACATTCAAGAAAATTCCTTACATGAAAAGTAAGGAAAGTTGGAAGGGACCTTGGAGGTCATCTAGTCCAACAATTATGTTCTTGTGATTGGGGAAACAACCAAATTGCTAACCTCTATTTTGATAAAATGAGATTTATATGTTACAACACTTTAATATCTTTGTAATATTTTTATCAACCTTTTTTTGGGATAATCAGATGAATTTCTATACTTCAAAACTTTCCAATGATTATTATATAACGTTCATTATAGCCAAAGTATTCATTACAACAAATAGCATTTGCTATCAACTAACATATAATTTGTTACTGGGCCACCATTAACATAGCTTGAATTAATATTTCCATTATTGGAGAACCAAATTATTTCACACTATAATCATTCAGCTTATTATAAGGAGGGATAAAATATGAGAACAGCAATGGCTCCTACATACTTGATTCACATACAATAGATTATATCTACTCATATTCATTATAATTCTTATGTATAGTATAAAAGAAACAGATTACAATATGCTCTAATTTACCCCCCAAATTAATTCACAATCTGATAACATGCTATAAAACTTGCTACATTTTTCCAGATTTAAATCTCCTTTTTTCAGAACAATACTTCAAAATCTTAAACATTTCTAAAAACAGCAAATACAGAACATTCAACAACACGATTCTATCAATGAGTCATACCTTAACCTTCATAGCTATTCCAAATAACAAATCAACATATTCAAATATGTACAATATGATTATCAGTTCTGATTATACCAAAATATTAAGCTGTATATTATTTTTAATGTTTGATTCTTTACATTAAAGCATTATGCTTGTACTAGTAGAGAGATCCAAAGTCCTGATATTGCTGCACTGTTTAAGAGCAGAGATAGAGAATTTGAGACTATTTCATGACATCACTCAGCGTATTCTGTTCCTTTTGTATAACTTTATGCTTGTCAGAAAGAAAAAAAATGTATTATAGACAAAATGGTGTCATTATTCATCTTTGGTAATACTCGTACTTATTGTGTAGAGTCCTCCTATGCCCAGAGGGAGGGGGGAAATATGGATCTCTTCAGAAAAAAAATGGCTCAGCGTTGGCCTAGGGCCTAGGCATTGCAGTAACTCCCAAATTACTATGGCAGGTTTGCTTATCAGAATTCTTGTAAAGCTAGTTGCCTGCTGGTTGTTGATTAGCTTTTCCTAACTTGATAACACAAAATTCTACAATTCTAGCCAGCATGGATATTGGAGAGAATTGAGGTGGAATTGCTGTGGTTTACTATAATATCCCAGTCTTCAACATTCTTCTCTTGAAACTGAGGTCAAGGCAAAATACAACT